CAGTCTTTCTGTTCTGTTCTGAGCATCATCCCCAAATTAAAGAACAAGTGGCCTATCATTAAGTGATGTTGTCAAGAAGTAAGGAGAGATGTGGAACAACACTGCTGCATATGACAAGCAGCCTCATGAAAATAAAAATGCTAATATTGATAAAATTCTCAAATGAATGACTCCAGCTCACACTTAAACTAGAATTAAAGAATTAAACCAAAACTAAGCAGAAAATAAATACTAAAGGGCAAAAATCAGTGAAATAATAGTATGGCAATATGTAAATCAATGGATGTGTAACTGATGTGATTCTGCAATCTGTATATGGGGTAAAAATGGAAGCTCATAACCCACTTGAATCAAATTGTGAAATATGATATATCAAGAACTATGTAATGTTTTGAACAGCCAACAATAAAAATTTTTTAAAAAATAAATAAATAAATAAATATTAAAAAAATAGATATAAGCAAAAATCTGAGAAAATCTCTTGCTAAACTAATCTAGATAAAAAGAATAATATGTTAACAGTGTTAAGAATGAGAGACATCCTACAGATCTTACATGTTACAAGGGGATATTATTAACTTCACACCAATGCAGCAATTTAGACAAAACAAATCCTTTAAAAACATGCAACACCAAAGCTCATTTAAGAATAATACAACCATGTATCTATTCTTAATATTGAATTTGTAATATTAAAAGCAAAAGCATATTCTAGGTTAAAGTTGGCTTTAGATTGGTTCAGGTTGAGGAATTCTACATAATGACAAATTCATTCAGAAAATTTAAGATTAGGTAACACTTTCCCACTAAAGCTGCTATGTATGACTCTCATATAAAAGTAAGAAAAACTGCAAACCAATTTAAAAAGTTTAAGTGAATATGAAAAAGGCCTGAGGTTGGAAGACCAATTAGTAGACTACATATATAGATGAAAAAGACTGAATTTAATACTATAAACAGTGATTCTGTCCCATGTAACCAATCACAATTGAGACAAGGGCACATTTATTGCAGAGGAAATACAGAATTTGTGGTTGAGGGTAGGGTCAAATCAGAAATTAATGGTGGTAATGAGGAAGTAGGAAGAGTGGTGCATTCACTTAGCATTGTAAACTGAATGTTTTGTTTGGAGCAGGAGTTTTTGGTTCTGACACGTCTCCAGTATTATGAGTTCTTTGTCAGAAAATTGGAAATGTTAAGACTTTAGCTTCAGCTCAGGAAAGGGTAATGCACTACCAGAGGTCATGCCTCTATAACTGATCCATTTTCCACCTCAGTCATATGGTGGCTAATGCATTACAAGAGTATGATTTTTTAAAAAAACATTACTACTCTTTCCATGAGCCTTTTCATAATGTAAGAAAATGATAATTATAAAAAACTAAATGTAATATAATTATACAACTTAATTATAACCCAGTGACCTTTCAAAACTAATGCAGTGACTGGTCATGGTGGCACACACCTGTGTGCAAGGGGATTGCCAAGTTCAAAGCCAGCCTCAGCAATTTAGTCAGGCCCTACGCAACTTAAGAACTGGGCATGTCACTCAGTGGTTAAGCAACCTGGGTTCAATCCCTGGTACCAAAGAGTGCAATGTAAAATTTCAGAAGTCTACTGTAGAAGTCTACCGTCAAAAGCAGCTGCTACAACCTGTAATCCCTAGAACTCCTGTGGAGAAGGTCACACACAAAAAAGTGCAAACCCACTACTGGCAAGTACAGTTTAAAGGTCTCTTCTTTCCACCCTTGCACAAACAGTTTAACATATTTGGAAACTAAAACAGTTCATGTCCTTTAACCATAATTAAGATAGCTCATCATCTCTGGGCCAACTAAGCCATGAAGTCTTCTTACAGAATTCTAAATCTACACATTCAACAGGTAGCTTGTTTTTAAACTTTCAACTAATACGCTGTTTTAAATGACCATCCTGAGGTCTTACAGCACATTTACCAGAGAGCTATACTTCTGATAAAGGGGAGAAAGCATTCCGCTTGCTGTTAAACCCAAAAACGTCAATTAGGGTGGTAATTTTTAACCCTGGAAAAGCCTATAACCATCTCTCAGTTATTAAAAACAAGTTGCGACTCTGGAAATAAATGTCCCAGAAATAGGCGAAATTACTACTCAACAATGGCAAGATTTTAAGATTTTCATTTTATTAAAAATATAGTGACATAATAGCAGCAGCAGCAGCATCTGATAAATCTTTACTAGTACCTTTTAAAAGTAATCCTACGCACATAAATATACACCACCTATGCAGAATCTTAATGTAACATTTTAAACTCTTCCCTTGAAAATCTATAGCACTGTTCTATTAAACTAATCAAGGTTAGGAGGATAATTATTTAACTATTAAATTGATTTATATAGCTACACAGTATATTCAAATTTAACCTTTTGTGGAAATCACGAATTCTCTAGGTTATTCCCTGACAATGTGTTACCTATACCAATACCCCTAAACTGGTGGAAATCACTCTCTTCTTTCAGTATGATTTTCATGAATCTGAATTTACAGTTATGAAGTTACCTGACTAGTAAATAAAAATTAATCAAGATTAGAAGAAACTAAACATTCATGCTAATCCTGGGAAAATAAAATTTAGAGGCAAAATATGTGACATGCTAATCCTGGGAAAATAAAATTTAGAGGCAAAATATGTGAAGTCTTCTCAAAATTGACAATTTTCCAAATTAAAATGTTAACTAGACATAAATTTAAAAATCAGGCAACATATTAAAACCTACTTAAAAATACTAAGACATGTTAACATTTGGGGCTGGAAGGGAAGCCCAGTGGTAGAACACTTGCTTAAATCTGATCCCCAGTAACCCCCAAAAGGAAATGTTGTATTACATATAAACAGAAAATTTTGACAAATTATAATTATAAAGGTACCTTAACACATTAATTCCCCAATTTTTAATTTTCTATTAATGAAATTGACATAGGTGCATTAAAATAGTTTGGAAATCATAGTCTAGAGCTTATATGTCCTTTACATATTTTCAAACATTCTAATTAATCACCTTTTTTCTCAAAAGAATAGACCTCTGAAAACAATTATTTCAAAGTTACTATAAGTGATATACTTGTTGCTTCATTTATGGTTTTATAGTTAGTCATTCCACATCACAGATGATTGGAAAAAATGGGTTAAACTGGAATGAAAAGATCCACATTAGGTACTGTAGCTAACCTGATCAAATATGGACCAAATACCATAAACAGCTTTAGCTTTTATTTCTAAAATATCACTCTCTTCATGCAAAAATCACCAATAAAAGTATCCTAAAAAACAACAAAAATTTCACCCATAAACCCAAGATGAAGTAGGAAAGTCAGTTTTATTTTTAAAAGATTATTTTATTATATTTATACTAGACTCCTGCTTCCAGAAATAAGTTAGCCCTTAAAAGCACTAACTTTTGAATTATGAAAATAATTCAAAGTGACTATGACATCAGTAAATGAACATGAGAATACTAAACATGTAGGAAGTAAAAATAAAAAAAAAATATTTAAACACAAAGAGCACATGATCACTGTACTTTTACTTTGTAGGAACGGTTCAACTTCAATAACCCACTCAATTAAAATCAAATACTACCTTTTACCATGAAAATATAAGAAATGACATTACTGAAATGTTGTTATTCAATTCAATGCATCCCTCCAAAAAGACTTGATTTTAATTGCTAATTCAACTAAAGTTAAATGAAAATAATCTGCACTTATAATACAGTACAGATCAAAAAAATTTGTTTTAAAAGCCTATTACTATACTTAAAATCCTTAAAATTTGAACAATCTCTTCAGTTGTGAGATTTGAATCAGTTTTTTGTTTTCTCAACTTTTAAAATAAAGATAGTAACATACACACACATAGAAATGACTGAGGATCCTGAAAATGATTTATATCAAATTATTTTCTTGACAAAATAATCTTTTGGTTATAAATACCAGCTTTATTGTTAAGTGAGCATGTCAAAATTTAAGCTTCTAACAGTGAAGATCAAGGTAGGTATTTCTTCAAAAGAAGAATTCTAAACGTGGGCAAAGTCACAAGATGACTTGATTATAAGCTAATTAGATTAGATGGAAAATAGAAGCTAAGAAGACAACTGTGTAAGTTAAGGATTTACAAGTTTTTGCACGTGAAACTGTCTGGCTAGTCAGTTATGAAGGACCATCTTTTGTTACAGTTCAACAAGCACTGCTGAAAAACAAGTATGATTTAAGAAAAACAGAGTGCCTTCTCTGTAATCAAGCTTAAAAAGAATCACAGAAGATATGAAGTGTAAAAGGGCTGCCTTCTTGGCCTTACCTCAAGTTTTCCTGACATCTACCGAGGAGATGAAAAAAATAATTTTAAAGGAAAAAACACAGTACCCTTAAAGAAAATAATAAACAAATGGAAACATGTCAACTCTTAAGTGAACAAAAAGAAAACTCATCTGTCTGTCTCACACACACATATACATACTCACACACACACACATCTAGACCCTAGTAGGCTTTGCTTCCATGTAAAAAAATGTCAAATCTTACATTCCTAGATTCTCAGCTTTTTAAAAGAATTTTTTTTGTAGTTGTAGATGGACAACATGCCTTTCTTTTATTTGTTTATTGTTATGTGGTGCTGAGGATCGAACCCAGTGACTCACACACGTACTCTGCCACTGAGCTACAACCCCAGCCTGATTCTCAGTTTTTGAAAAAAAATCACTCAAAATTAATATTACTTTACAGCTGAATAAATATCCTCAGCAATAAAATTAGTGGTAGGAATAAAATTAAATATTAATTTCCAATATGAAAAAAACACTTAAAGAGTCCAGAGTACAAGAAAATATTTAAACTTGAAATGACTAATTTGTAGACAGATACCACACAAACATACACTCGCCAAGTCAAAACAATCTCTGTGCTAACTAAATCAAGAACAGGATGAAAACTAAGATCTTATTTTGAAATGTATAAACAACTACTTTCCTCTAAAATACTTAGCTTTATTAGAGAAATGGTACTAAAAATAACAGATTCAAACAACATTTGCTCTATTCTACTTACATATCATAAATAAGACAGCTGTTGATGCAAGACACACACTCCTTCACAATCTTTCCATATGCACCCAAGCATTCTTGTATCAGAATAAGCTGTTTACCAGCCAACCTTACGTGGTTGAATGATTACAATGACCACCTATACTTTACATAGTAAAGCATTTTCCAAAATTTTAATGTACACAGTGACAAAAAAGGAGAAAAAAAAAAAAAAAAAACACCACAGTAATTCTGAACACATGAAGATGATTAAGCAGCTTCAAAATCAAACCAGGCTTCATAACTTGCAAAAAGAACAACTCTTTCCATTCTCCATCAAATACTTAAGTTTCAACAGTATTAACATTTAAAAAGAAGACTCAAGTTGAAACCAAGTAACTAACATGCTACTCAGCTTTTTAAATCTATAAAAAGTAACTTGTCCCATGAGGTAAGGCAACTGAGTAATTTGATTGTATTAGATTGCATTAAAATAATTATACTTGATTTTTAATAAAATGCTAATTAAAAGTACTTTTGGAAATATAACAATAATGAAAAGAGTTCAGAAACTACAAGTTATAGTTTTGGGGGAAAATATTAGATATGTTGTCATTTTACTACTTGTATACTTTCTGTAAAAAGTGAATGATGGATGACCTGTATCTTAAACTCAAGTAAACATAGTCTTAAACAAAACAAATAACCTCCCATATATTCCTTGTCCTCCCTTTATGTATAATTTCTGCACATTGTTTATGGGAAAATGATTGAGAGGTAAAAATTAAGGCCATCCAATGTAGTCAACTAAATGGTTTCCTTTGATTTGAGGAAAATAGAGCATGTTTCATTTTCAGTTATCACAGTTATATATAAAACTGATGGTCCCAAAACTGCACTGTTGTTTTAAACTCTAAAGTCGGTCTTGAAAACAGGATTTCCTTTCATATGAAGTGAACTAAGTTAAGCTCTTCTGACATATCACTTGCATACTTCTCTATGGGGTGAATAGATTCCATATGAATTGAGAATGACTAGCACATATAAAATTCTAGAAAACAGTATACCACATTGTAGAAGGCACTAAAGCTTCAGCTTGTGCTCCCGTAGCCCATTTTGAAAACCAGTTTCCTTTTTATGAGGGCATTCTTACCACCTACAGCTGACAAGACACACTGCAATATTATTCATAATAAAACTTGGAAATGTCAAGAAAGTTCAAAAAGAAATGCTTACTTTGTTTGTGGGTAGACCCAATGATTCTAAACACTGAATACTAATACATTAGTATTAGTATTCAACACAGTTGCTCTTCCTTTTGAAAGAGAACAGTAGCATGCATTGTCAGTTGTTTTTTAATCCACTTATTTAAGCAATTTTAATTGTAAAACTATTTTAAAGAAAAACTGCTGTCCTAAACAGTGAGCAAAAGAAAACACAATAGTGAGAATTTAACACAATCACTGTAAATCATGTGAAATAAATGTTAAAACTTCTTACATACTTTGCACTTACAACGGTGTGTATATATTTGCACCAATTTCAAGCACATCATCAAACTGTATATATCGAAATTTTTTTTAAAAAAAGTAAAACAATACAAAATTCAGTAACTAGCATTTTTTTTTTTTTAAGAGCCTCCAATGTTTACCTCCAGTCTCTAGGGAAAGTATAAATTTGGATCAATGATGTTCAATTTATTTGCAATGGTTCTTGGCAAACACTAACAATCACATGACAAGTGTGTCAGCCACCATGGAAACACAGTTTTTAGAAGATGAGGGGTTTGGGTAACATCTGGTATTTTCATGATGTCCATGCTTTATTTTCTTACTCAGTAACAAGATGTCCATAACATCACTTAACAATTAGAAAAGCTGTTAGCTTCTAACTTCATATTCGGCTAGATTTCTTCCCTGTTTACATCTTGTTGAGAGAATTAAAAGCTTTGGATTTTATTCCACCTTTGAGTGCAGAGGTGCATAAGTCTGTCCTATACTGCTTCTGTTTTGGTAGAGAGGTTTTCTTCATTTGGTTGACAATTCCCATTTTGCTGTACTTTGTTTTCCTCAGTCCTTGGTACATCCTTATCATCTACTTCTTTGCCGACAGTTGAATCTGGTTCTTTATTGTGCTCCTTCTCCTACAATAAATACAAAGGTAAACATTTACTATTCCCCTCAAGAGTTACCACTACTATGGTTAAATGACATCTTAGTGAATTAATAAAACTGGATTATTTACTTTCATTATTTTTTCATTAAAAAGAACATGCAAAATGTATCAATTTGACCACTGCATTTCTCATAAAACATGGGAACTAAGTTAGAACAGGTGAACAGAAATTCTAAAGAAGCACAAATACTGTGGATACGACTTGAAAAAGTGAGATCAACCTGCTGAAAGCATGAAATAACTTCCAAAAATGCCATCAGAAGCAAAAATAAAGGAAGTAAATATTCCTCTTAGAAAAGACTGTTAAAACAATTCAAAGGCTGAGACAGGAGGACTGCGAGTTCAAAGCTAGCCTTAGCAAAAGCAAGGTGCTAAGCAACTCAGTGAGACCCTGTCTCTAAATAAAATGCAATAGGGTTGGAGGATGTGGCTCAGTGGTCAAGTGCCCTTGAGTTCAATCCCTGGTACCAAAACACACACACATACACACACACACACACACACACGGTCAAATTTTATCCTTAGCTTAAAGGAAAATTAAATGAGATCCAAGAGTGGCACACAGTAAATGATCAATAATTACTATCAACGACAATCCTAACCCTCTACCACTAGGAAATTACATAATGAAAGTCCCAGAACTCAATTTCTAATACAAACATATTTTACGAGGATGGACAAGGGAATTGACATAATTCACAAACACTTAAAATATTTGTTCAAGAAAAAGCTTATTTGGTGGAATTCGGTTTTCCATTACATAATTCAACAAACCTAATTTGTAATATATTATTAAAAAGCCAATGACTAAAGACATTCTTGTCAAATTTGCTAAAACAGAGGAAAATGGCACCAGGCAGAAATTTTAACAGTATAAATGTGTCAAATACATTTGATGCCCACAGATTTTCTAATTATATGCCATTTTCTGATTCTCTAAAATAAGGAACATAATATTTTAAATCTTAATTGTCTCTCATGTTTTCAAAATTTAATGTAAAAATTTACCAATTTAATAACTATTTTAAAATGCCAACAATGTAAAAACTGTTGCCCTCAAGAAGCATTCAATTGATAAAGAACAATCTCAATTAATTATTCAATGCCAAATACTGTTATCTACTGCTTACTTTAACTGAAGTACTATTCTTCTCCAACTTCTCCTTTCCATCTCTGTCATTAGAACTCTTTCTTGTAGAAGTTGAACGCTCTCTCTCTCTCCTTTCACTGATGTGATCCCTTTCTTTTTCTCTCTTTTTATCTTTCTTATTTCTGCTGTAAGAATATTCATAAAATGTCAACTTTTAAGAAATCAGAAACATACCATATTCTTTATCCTTATCTAACACAGGGTATCGAAAATAATATATTTTAAATAAACTTGTAGTAAGTTGGGATGATAAAGTAACAAAAATAGGTTCTATAACCTGACCAATTCCACCCCTTGCCCTAATGAGTTTTTTAAAAAGACACTAATCATTTATGCAGCAGCCATCCAGTGTTTACATAAAACATAATTTGGTACTACAAATATATTACTTTAATAATATTCAGGATTTATTTATCTACTGGAATAAGAAAAAATAAAACCAAATACAGTCAGCTCATTTGAACCAATAAGTTCCTTATCCATGAATTCAACCCATCACAGATTTAAAATATGTGGGGCAGCAACTCAGGATGCTCAATCAGAAGGATTACAAGATCAAGTCCAGCCTGGGCAACTTAGCAAAACCCAATCTCAAAATTATTTACAAAAAAAATTTTCTAAAAAGGGAGAAAAAACTGCATCTGTACTAACATTTAGACTTTTTTTGGGGGGGGGGGTGCTGGGGACATGTGTTCTACCACTAATCTACACACAGGCCCCTACAGAATTTTCTTGTCATTGTTACCTAAAAAATACAGTATAACAACTATTTACATATTATATTCTATATTATATATACACACGTATACATTCTATAAGTAATTTAGAGATAGTTTACAAGAGGATGTGCAGATTATGTGCAAACGCTATACTGTTAGGGTTCAGCATTCATGCATTTTGGGATCTACAAGGGGTCCTGGATGCAATACCCCAAGAATACTAAGAGACAGTGTTTGTTTATGAATCTTTTCAAAGCAATACCTGAATACGCAGGAAATAAAAAACAAGAGATAAAGATGTTGGGGCTGGGGTTGTGGCTCAGCAGCATAGCATGCTCAAGGCCCTGGGCTTGATCCTCAGCACCACATAAAAATAAATAAAATAGAGGTATTGTATCCAACTGCAACTAATTAGATGTGGCTCCCAGGCAGGGCTAAGTAACCATTAGCATTAGTATCACCTTGGAAAGTGATAAAACTGGATCCACGGCTCATTTCACATAATAGAAATAAGTTTAACTGGATTAAATACTTTTTTTTTGGTAGTTGTAGATGGACAGAATGCCTTTATTTTATTTATTTTTATGTGTGCTAAGGACTGAATACATGACAGGCAAGCACTCTGCCACTGAGCTAGAACCCCAACCCTAAAGACTTATTTTTTAAAAACAAAAATAAACATGGGTGAATTCCTTTACAATCTGAGGGAAATATTTTCTAAGTATTTCTCCTAAAAATTTCTTTTAAAACTCCAGGTATAAACTGGGTGCAGTGGTGCATGCCTATAATTCTAGTGGCTCAGGAGGCTGAGGCAAAAAAAGGGCTTGGGGGTGTTGCTCAGTAGTTAAGCACACCTAGGTTCAAACTCCAATATGAAAAAAAAAAAAAAAAAACCCTTCAGCTATATTCAAAAGAAAAAGTAAAAAAAAAAAAAAGATTATTAGCAACATATATGTATTTATTTTTAAACCTAATTCTTAAAAATCAAGGGAACAATAACTTCAAGAATAAAATACTTAGGATTATAAATTTATTCATAAATTTACAGCAACAAACTTAACTATATATCACATATCCCATAACCCATCCGATACCATTTCTGGAAATTCTTCCTACACAACAGAACCCTTTAAACAACATTAAAGTCCAAAGTTGTTCATTATAACATTACATAGTATGAAACAAGAAAATTTCAGAAAAACCATTCTACTGTAGGCTGGTAAAATAAAACAAGGAACTAGAATATAAATCTAAGTTCATGCAATTATAAAAAGGAATGAATTCTCTCTGACCAATTTATGGAAAAACTTCCTAATAGTTAAGTGAAGTAAAATCAAGTGTACAACAATGTATATTTGTTACTTAATATGAGAAAAATAAAATATATATTTTCATATCCTTGGAAGGGCATAGAGAAAAACTATTTCATTATTTATGGTGACAGGTGAGCACATGGAAGAAAGTAAGTTTTCTCATCACATAAATTTTTACATTTATTTCTGAAGGATACAAATGTATTACTCATTCAAAATATAAAATTTTAAAAACATTAAAAAGAGAGAAACATAAATCTTTTTAAAAATTTTCCCACTTCCTTTTCTTTAGTTTTGGTACTTGTTTTCAACCTACCTCCTAGGGGATGGAGACCTAGAAGACTTCCTTTTTATGTTTTTTGATGTTCTTGGTGATCTGGAAGAACTCCTGCTCCTTCTCCTCCGCCTTTCCCTAAAAGCCAAAAATGTCATTTTAAAACACAATTGAAATAAAGAGAAATTAAAAAATACAAAAGCAAAAGGGTCCTTGGTTGAACTCTCAATTGAGTAGTAGTCCTCATAAGCCATTTTGTTTATTACAGTTTACTACTCTTCAGCCCCTTTAAAGGCCAGTTTAAACTCACATACTTTATAAACATGTTCTACCACATAATTTTAGGGTAAGTCAAATTATGAGCCATAAATTTTATAGAGGACAAAAACTTTACCCCTAAGATTTAATATCAGAAACGATGGAGAGCCTCCATAACCATGTGGTATATCTGAACAATAATTTCTTGAGTAGAAAAAATATTGATGGTTCAGTCTCTCAAATGTCTTTCTCGGAATCTAAAACACATTTTGCCTACTAGATTCTTTATCATGCATCTAGCTCCTTGCTGCCCCACTGTGGATTATTTTGTAACAAAATAACAGGTTCTTCAAGAACTGAAGGATAAATTAGTCTGCAAAATGTAAACAAATTAGTCTCAAGCATTAGAATGTCTCCAAAAAAGTATTTAAATCACTATAAAGAAATTGCTTTTCCTCTCCAACCTCCATTTATTATTGCTGTTTTATTAATTTAAAACTGAGTACACAGGTTGCTTAAATATAGGAAAAATAGTTAAAATCTGGGATTTAAATATGGTCAACTAAGAAATACACATATTAAGTATTTATTATTAAAATTATTTTGCTTAACATATTAGTAAATGATGTATACATAAAATTACTTTTTATGAGTGATCCACTTAGAAACAAAGAACTTCACCATGTCCATGATCCAAGGGAAAAAAAAATGTATTTATTAAATGTCAATGAATCTAATGATACCCTTTCTTAAGGAGCATTGATAATCAGAAACCACAGAGATGAAATAAATCAATCCTCTGGATTTCAATTTCTCTTTACCATCTTATATTTTTCATTTGTAAAATTAATGCTTACATTATTAGTGGTACATACGGCAGATATTTTAGACAACCAAAAAAGCTCAAGAGCTTTGAGAACATTAAGTATCATTCAACCCAAGTCTGGTTTGATTGGTTTTGTTGTTTTGGTACTGGGACTGAACCAAGAGGTGCTCTACCACTGAGCTACATCCTCAGCCTTTTATTTTTTTATTTTAAGACAGGGTCTCAATAAAAGCTGCTGAGGCTGACCTCGAACTTGCAATCCTCCTGCCTCAGCTTTTCAAGTCGCTTAAGGAATTATAGGCATTAGCCACCATTCCCAGTCCAAGTCTGGTTTTATTCAACTAGAAATAAAAACAAATAACTCACACCTTACACAGTTGCTATGAGGATATAGAATAATACCTATAAAGTTCATAGATTCTGACACATAGTAGGTACTCAATAAATATCTTCTTCCTTTTTAAAAAATGTCTTTAGGTGCTAGGGATTAAGCCCAGGGTCTCACACATGCTAGGCAAGCTCTCTAACACTGAATTACACCCTCAGCCCTCTTCTTTCTTTTCTTGGTTTCATCTTTATTGACAATAACTTTAAAGCATTAAAAGTTTTAAAAGTCAAATTTTTCTGGAAAAAAAATATATACAGATTAGGAGACATTCGAAAGTCTTTTAACAATTGGTTCAATGTGCTGGAAATGTAACAATATTTCTTTTCATTTTGATCCCCATTTTAATACATATACAATTGCTTTCAACTTTATGGTTCTGAGGTACATTTTAAAAGCAGGTAATAAATTACAGAATTCTCAAATTTGCCAAGCACAATAGAGTAATTCCAACTACTCATGAATGTGAGGCAGGAGGATCACAAATTCAAGGCCAGCCTAGGCAATTTAGGTGCTGTTTAAAAAAATAAAAACTAAAAAAGGAGTGGTAAAGCACTCCTGGATACCACCCCAGTACCACCCCCCCCCCGCCCACACACACACACAATAAAATGCTACAACAATCTCTACAAAGGAGGAAAAGAGTTAAAAGATACTAAAAAACACAGAAGACGGCTAATTTCCTATAGTTTCCCAGTTCCTCATATTTTACAACAATGATAATAGTTTTCTCATGAGCCTACTCTAAGGACTAAGTAAAGAAAGACAAAAAAGTGAGACATAATACATAGCATACCCAATAAATGCCTACAATTATCTCTAAATATTAGTCAAAGGCTAATATTAAGACAAAACTACAAAAACATTTTAAAAATAGGAAATAATATTCTTTAATCTCTAATTGTTTTCTATGAAAACCATCTTTAAAATTTGCTAAAAAAAAAAATATATATATATATATATATATATATATATATATATATATGTATTTAAGAGACAGGTTAACACAAATCAGAAACTTCCAGTTATTCACAATTACGGTATTATTTAAAATAATGGATGTGGGTTTAAATAACCTTGAGGAAGGTTCTCATTTTGCAGCTGTTTCTATGGCAACCTGCTGCCGCCTGGTGGCAGTGTACTTATTTATAAATTGAGAACTTTTTTTTTGGACAGTGCTAAGGGGAAAAAAACTAACCCTTAAAATTAACAAATAAAGAATTCAAATTTAAATGTCATGCACTCAACATGAGAGGTAAAACTTAACTCACATGATGGAAAGAACTAACAATCATTTTGCATATTAAAATTTCCCATGACATTCTTAAGAAAGGCACCTAAGAGGTCAATCTTCTATTTCTTTTTTCTTTTCTTTTTTTTTTTAATATTTTTTAAATTGTAGATGGACATGATATCTTTATTTTGATTTATTTTTATGTGGTGCTGAGGATCGAATCCAGTGCCTCATGTGTGTTAGGCAAGTGCTCTACCACTGAGGCACAACTCCAACTCCTCTATTTCTTAATACCTTCCCTGATATTCTACCTTCTAAGAAAATAACAACACTGATAATAATTAGCTGGGCTAAAAATAGTATACTTCAAAGTTTAGCTAAAACTAAATAATCTTGCAGAATATCATCTCTTCCTCCTCACAGGCTCAACACTGTGGCAATTCACAGAGAAAACATTTACTTTCCAATTACAAGAAAACGTTCTGCCCTTACTGTACTGGTTCTACTTGTATACAATAACCTTTCCCCCTCAGTTAAACACTTATGTTTTAATTTGTTATCAGTAAACCCTTGACCAAAAAATTTAGACATTATCAAACCTGCTGGAACTACGAGATCTTCTTGATGCATTATAACTTCTGGGTGGTGTTCGGGATTTTTTATCCTTCTTTCTTTTTTCATCTATTTCTTTGGATCTGTCCTTTTCTCGTTCTTTCTCTTTGTCCTGGTCCTTTTCTTTCTCTTTGTCTCGCTCCTTCTCATGCTCTTTTTCTCTGTCTCTCTCTTTTTCCTTTTCTTTGTCCTTTTCCCGGTCCTTTTCTCGGTCTTTGTCCCGGTCTTTGTTTTTCCCCCGTTCCTTTTCTTTTTCACGCTCTTTTTCCCTTTCTCTCTCTTTTTCCCTTTCCTTTTCTCTATCCTTCTCTTTCACTCTTTCCTTTTCCTTGATCTTTTCTCGAGTATCTTTTCTCTTGTCCCTTGAAAAATAAGCAAAAATAAATAAATGTATAACTAAAAAAATTCTACCCCCCCCAAAAAAGACATCCCTCCCTCTTTCCTCAACAATTACCAACATAAAACAATTTACAATGGCTCAAGACATTATATATGCATTTCTATATAATCCAGTGTACATGAAGCTGCAAAATGAAGTGATTACCAGGCTGAGTTGAGTAGTTTGGAAACCTCATGAGTCATACTGACCATCAGATTCAAATCAGTGGCAATCAATATTAATCCTAGATTACTAAAACAATCAGAAAAAGAGTTTTATTTCTCATCAAAGCCTAAACCACAGCAGAAAAGCCAATAATAAAACCAATGAAAAGATTATCCCTAATTTTCTAAAACTCACCGAGAACGCGAACGACTCCTTGACTTCCGTCTTTCCCTTGATTTAGAGCGTTTTTTATGTGGGCTCTTAGATCTACGTCTATCTTTCTGTCTTGAACGGGATCTGTTATGGGATCTACTCCTGAAGAAATAAATTATTAAAAATCAAAACTTATTCTTAGAATTTCATTTTTTTAAAAAAGTCTTTGAAAATAAGAGAATTTAAAAATCCATCTTAACTGTATTTATCAACTTTTAAAAATTCTTTCTTATATAATGCTTTCGTTACATTACCAGAAAGAGTTTACTTATTTGAAACTTTACCAGATATTTCACTGTCTAGAACACAAGTTGATATTTTCCGGTATGGCTTTCTTTTGCAACAAATTATTACATGCCATGCCACAAATTAACAAAGAAGATTTTTCCCATCGTCCAAGTTTTCACACCAAAAACTGTCTTTCACTTGACTGTTACCTGGTTATGACACCTTGATGGGGAGTAGTGGTTATATGGTTCACTTCTAGAAACTGTTGTGTACTGTTTATCATAATAAACATTAAGAAAATATGTATAAGGAAACAAACTGGAGAGTGGATGTGACAGGAAAACAAAAATCATTTTGCATGAGGTAAAACTACATAAAATCAAAATATTAGATTTGTGTTGCCTCTGTGTTAAAGCTGTAAACTATGACCACAGCTATTAAAAGAACCATTTATTAATGGAATTCTTCCAAGGAAAAATACCTGTTACTTCAATTTTGATTAGTCCCTCTTTCCCCACTGAAATAACTGTATTTTCAAATACTTTTTTTCCCACAATGAGCTAATTCAGGCACTATTTATTAAAATACAACAAAATAGATGCACACAACTTAAAATAACAAAGTGATAAGACTCACCAGCTTTGGAGTCTGACAATCTGGCTCTAAAGCACAACTCTGCCACACACTAGCTGGCCGAGCACTAGCAAGTCACTAACCTCTCTAACTCTGCATTTCTTCTTCTATAAAGTGGAATCAGAATCACATCTATTTATCTATCATGAGGATTAATTAGATGATGTATGTAAAACTGGCTTGCAGTCTCTGGCACAGAGTAAACACTTATCTCAATTCTTGGTATTATTATAGCCATCATAAAAAATAACACAGTTTAACATAAATGTAAACTTTAAATCTTTATTTATTCCAAGGAGGTCAAATGAACTTCCACAAGTACACTGTACATAATATACACAAATATCTATAAGAGAAATATATAGTTAAATGGTCATGCTTGGGGCATGCTATAAAACCAGAAACACCTCCAGTTCCGTTACTAATATATTTTTCAGTTAGTCCAATTGTTTTGGATTTTTTTCCCCTCAGCACTGGGGATTGAGCCCAGTGGTACTCTACTACCAAGCTACCTCCACAGCCCATTTTGTGTTTGAGATGTGGTCTTGCCAAAAAATGTTGAGTCAGCCTCAAGCTCACAATCCTCCTGCCTCAGCCTCCTAGGTAGCTGGGATTATAGGTATGCACCACCCTCACCATGCTCTTACAGCTAATTTTCATCTATTATACAGCTGTAAAGATAATGCACTTGAGGAAAGAAAATAATTTTTAAAAATGCATCTGTCTTTGTAACATTTTTTTAATACAATAAGATAATTCTGAGTTTGCTGAAGTATTTACCACTAAAAACCTAAGAGACATGAAGGTCAAGTAGCAGGTATTAAGGCAGATTTAAAAGTTAGAGCATTCTTAGTCCATTTACAGATGTTCACATTGTTTCTATGTACTCAATAAAAAAGCTTAAGACTATTCTAGTTAACCTTGCTAAAAATATAAATAATTCTTTTGTTTCCTCAAAGCAGTGTTTTTCAACAATAATTAAGCAAGGAAACTTCTTTTAAAAAATTAAGGGTAGCCCTAATAAATTTAGTTAATAATAAAGAACTGATCACTTGGTTTCTTATCCTGTAGGTTCTGAGAGTTCACGTCACTGCTGAGGAGTAATTATTATACTTTAATTTTGACATTAAATCTTTTCAGGTCTATCCCACCCTCTAGTATGTTTTTTAATTAAGAACACTAAAACATTCACGAGCAGGTCTAATCCAACCAAAGACAAATACTTATTAGCAGTTTAATTTTTAAAATAATTTACAAAATTATATTTTAAAATTAAATTGTAAATAAATAGCAACTTACCCTCACGCTGTATCAAAGTTCCTTTGTAAATCAGTTGTTTTCCATTAAAACATTACAAAATGTCTTATAGTTCCTATGCTGGTCTGTAAAGGTTACTTAACTTAAAAACATAACAATTCTTGGGCTGGGTTGTGACTCAACAGTTGAGTACTTGCCTCGTATGTGTGAGGCACTGGGTTCAATCCTCAACACCACATAAAAATAAATAAACAAAATAAAGGTATTTGTTCATCTACAACTAAAAAAAACAATTCTAGTACTACCTATGTTTTCTAATGTTATCTATATAAATAAAAAATGTAAAAAGGTATACTCATACGTTTGCTGGTGGGACTGCAAACTGGTGCAACCACTATGGAAAGCAGTATGGAGATTCCTCAGAAAACTTGGTTGGAACCCGCGTTTCACACATCTATCCCACTCCTCGGTTTATACCCAAAGCAGCATAATGCAGTGACACAGCAACATCAATGTTTATAACAGCTCAATTCACAATAGCAAAACTATGGAACCAACCCAGGTGCCCTTTAATAGATGAATGGATAAAGAAAATGTGGTATATATACACAATGGACTATGACTCAGCCTTAAAGAAGAATGAAATTAAGGCATTTGCCTGTAAATGGATGGATCTGGAGAATATCATGTTAAGCAAAATAAGCCAATCCCAAAGAACCAAAGGCGGAATGCTTTCTCTAATATACAAATGCCAATTCACAATAAGAGGGGTAGGGTGGGGGGGTTAGGGAAGAATAGAGGCACTTTGGATTAGACAGAGGGGAGTGAGGGGAGGGGAAGGGATATGAAAGATAATAGAATGAATCAGACATTATTACCCTACGTACATATGTAACTACACAACCAGTATGATTCTACATGATATACAACCAGAAAAATAAGAAATCATACTCTATTTATGTATGATGTGTCAAAATGCATTCTATTGTCATGTATAACTAATTAGAATTTTTTTTAAAGTATCAAAACTTGGACAAAGTAGAAACACTTTTCCCAAGTCCTAGCTTAGGGATACAATGACAAGAAACCCATTCCTCCTGTTTACAATAATACAGGGAAGGAACAGAGAAAGGAGAGATATTGGGGGTTAAGCACAACTCCCACTTAAGTTGATACATCATACTTGTACATATCTGTGGGGTACTGTGTGACAATTCAATACATGTATAAAATGTGCAGTGATCAAATCAGCTTAATTTAGCATTTCCATCTCCTTAAACATTAATCATTTATTTATGCTAGGAATGTATAAACTCCTCTCTTCTAGTTCTTTGTAAAATATGTACTGAACTGTTAGGAACTACAATCATTCTACCATGTTACAGAACATGAGCAGTATTTTGGCACCTATTATCCAACTTCCTCCCATATCCCTCCACCATTTAATAACCAGATGTCTGCTTTTATGAAAGCAAATTTAAGCTCTTTAATGTGAGTAGTATTTGTCTTTCTATGCCTCGGAAAGCATGGTTCTAGAAGCATCTGAAGATGGTGGAAAAGAACAGGTGGGCCCATAAGCAAAACCTGAGGATACCAGCTCCCACTGGCAGAGGAGGGAAAGCCAAAAAAACCCCTCTCTTGACTCCTGGGGATTAAGGGGACTTCTTCCAACTTCCAAGTCAACATCCTAAAGTCATATGTTTTTCAGTAAGATGTTTTCCATTCCTTTAAAAAGAATAGAGAATTTGTCCTCTTTTGTATGTTTATGAGCTTTGTCAAAGCTGTGCGTGTGTCTACATGAACATGTGAAAGTAGGATATGCTGACCACACACACAAAACACACACACACACACACATTTCCACTGCTACACAGACAGATCTACAAGAAAATAACTCTCATGAATATCAAGAATTCACAAACTTTATAGACTGGATGATACCCTTGGAGGGGGCACTAATTAAATACATAGTACTTAAAATTAAAACCTTACAGTGAACAATGGATAAAGTGGATTGCTCAATTATTTGCCCAATTTCAAAAAGCACATATAGCTTCACATAGATTATCAAGGAAGCCACACGATGTTAATCATGGAGGTTAGCTTGCTCTCATATCAACCTCTCAAAATAAGATTCTCTTTTTCCTCAGTATAGTTATTAATTTTCACACAATTTTATATTTCCTTGCTATTCTTTATCCTCACCCGATCCTGTCAACACACAGGAATGTCCACTCTAGCACCACTGCTACTCCAACTCCACCTTCTGCTGCACTGCCTTATTTCTTACACATGAAAACAACTCTATTTACTTGATTCTGAATTTGCCTAACTACATCATCTCGTTGACACTAAAACAATATTTCAAAGAGATTTTGCAAACTGATTTAATAGAGACCTACATAACACTAAAAGGGCTAGCAGTATGAGTACTAGAAACAAAAAAAGAATAGTCTACTTTCCTTTATCATTCACTGAATCTCTGTGATCATCATAGAAAAATTCAACTGGGCATGCTGGTGAGACTCAACACACTGGTTTCTTTCCTTTCTTCCCCTCAATCTCTCTGCCTTCTCTAATACTGCCACATCATACACACACACTTTCCCTCCTTCCTGAAGACATAAACATCATGACATGCAATTAGGATCGAATATATATATATTTTGAAATGTTTTTAAGGTGTGGAGGGGACTTTTTGACACTTTCCCATTTCAAAAAGTTCCCTCCATATGTATATATAATATATATATATATATATATATATATATATATTCAGAAACATATATACATATGTGTGTGTATATGTGTATATATATATACACTTTCCCATTTCAAAAAGTCCCCTCCACACCTTAAAAACAATAAAATGTATCACTTTAGAGATGATTGTTAAGGTACTTGCAGTCAAGATGGTATTCCAAGTTTATATTTTGAGATCTCCTTTCCAAACACAAAGCAATAACAGACAAGGGAAAACAAAATGCCAAAAGTATAATCAAAAACAGGGAAAAAACAAACAGTGCTTCAGGACAAGACAACTTCCAAAATGAGACTGCAAGTTACTCTGGGGTTTCAGCTCCAAAAGTGGTCAGAGGAGGGCTCTTATCACCACGAGTACCAAAAACTTAAGGTGCTCCATTTGAAACATGGTACTTGGGGACAGGAAATTGCTTGAAACCAAGATCTGGGGTGTTGTTCCCCAGACCTGGAGTGGACTGGGAAAAGAAAACAAAAAGCCGCAACTTGAACAATATTTTCAGCATAACTACTAAATATGTTCCCTTTTTTCAAAAGAACGAAAAGTTTCTGCCACTTCTGTGTAAAGAATACGCTTAGCAATCTATCAAATTAGCATCTTTAGATAGAAAACCAACTTCTAAAATGGAAAATTAGCTTAACTATTAAAACTTAACTACAGTCTTATAAGCAGAGCAATATTTATTAATAACCACTAACGAACTTTCTAAATTCTGGCATTTTGATAAAAATCCATAAAATCTTAACTATTTTAAATAAGAAACTGAAAAAAATAAAATATGAAAGTAGAAATTCTCACCTGTGTTTTGACTGTGATCTTTTCCTTCTAGAATGGGATTTTGAGCTAGACCTGGACTTTGAGCGAGTGTGGGAACGAGATCGACCGCCTTTTCTTTCATTGCTCTTTCCAGACTCTGGGAGGAAAAAACCACTTTGCAGTGTAAGCTCAGAACAATTAAAGATCCCAGTTAATAATTAGGCACAAGTGGAATGTACCACATATAGTGCAAAGGGCCTACTCTCTGTACATCCTCCTCCTGTGCAATTATCCTTCAGAAACATCCAAGAAAGTCATTGCATAAACTCGTTGAGTGCAGCCACCCTGCAGCAGTACATATAAACCAGATGATTATAAACAGCTGTTCGTAATATTTTGTTGCTGCCATAACGTACGATTAAAACATGTCTGTAATTCCTATGACAGTGATTTTAAGTCCTTTCTGTTTATTTTGCTAGAATCGAAGTTTAAATTCCAAGTGTTAATTTAGAACATCCACTCAAAGGTTAAACACCTAGACGTTTTTAGACTGGATTTTAAAATCATTTTATTAAGCAACACAAAGTTTGAATAAGTGTTCCTTTACCCTGCTAAAACAGTTTTCTGTATTTTTTCTAAATCATGGGCTCTCTTTTCTAGGTTTTAAATTAGAACTTTATAGCAAACCCTGCTTAACATTTTGAATATATTTACTCTTTTCTTTTTAGCTCCATAATAACACTTATACTTTCCTTCAGGAAATCATTTTGAACACTGGTTTTCCTATTAAAAAAATAAAGAGCTAATAAACTCAGGCTAATGTGCCTTGATTCAGCAATTTTGGAAAAAAGACAAAATTTGTGTTGTTCTTTGAGTAAGCCACTTACTATTTTTTGAGTTTCAGTCTTCTTATTGGTAAAAATGAAGGGACTGAACAATGTAATTATTTCTAAAATTCCTTCAGGTTCTAAGATTCTATGATCTTTAAGCGATGACCTATGTAACAATGCTATGGCCTTACCTGGTTCAATAGCTGCTGAGATAAATGACTGAGCCTCTCGTACCCGCTTCATTACTTCTTCTAACTCCTTAGCTGCAGCCTGAGGTGTCATCTCAGGGGGTTTTACTATTGCATTGTTGGAGTGATTTATTCTAAATTAAAAATATTAGCATATCACAAATACACACCATATTTTATAAAACATTAAACAAATGTTTATATGATACACTTACTGATGAGTCTAAGGACTTCTAAGAAGCACATTAAAATGATATAGCTAAATACAAAATAAACAAAAACAACCTCAAAAGCACGATTCATATCTCATCCCCACCTTCAGTCACCTCTTGCCAAAAAAGCTATAAGCAAGGAAAAACAAAAATACTAAACCCTAGCTGACTTCTTTTAATACAGAATAAATATTTTCCATATGGTTTAGAATTATAAACACTGATACCAATGTTAAATCATTTCTATTCTTACATTAGGAGATTTTGTTGATAAACTGTGCTCCCTGGTAGGATAAAGGGAAAGCTGTATATAATGTGCACCATTTTAGTCAACCCTATTCCTTCCTTGGTTGAGTCACTCTGACACCTTTGAATGTGGGAGGTATCTGATAAAACTTTCCCTATTAGGTGAGAATGGCTTCTCTGATGCACACAATGAATGGGATTTGTCTGCCTCCATTTATCCCTTTTCCACAGAGATAATTAGATCCCACATAAAAACCCTTATTTATCCTTCAACAGTTAAACCCTGATCAAATTGTATAACTAGAACAATCACCTATTAAATCAGACAAAACTATGTTTGACTTAATAATCTAACTGAAACAGAATTTCTGACCTTAAGTGTCTGAAAGGCTACATCAATTTTTTACAAACAAGGATATGAGCAAACCTTAAAAGTCCAATGTCTCATTTAAAACATTTCTGGGTACTTGATATTACTTTCTTCCTGGGATTTAGAATTTACTGAAATTCATATTACCAGAAGTAGAGTAGTACAGCCCACACGTTAAATTGCCCATTAGTCATATTATAAAACCAATAAAATAATTTTAAAACTGATAAAGATTTAGAACTTTTATGTGGGGTATATAAATAATGTTAAGTAAACTAGACCTTAAAAATAGAAAATGAGAAATATGATTCCAAAAACAACTTTAGGATTTTAAAGGCTAAAATGGCATGTATTTCATTTATACTTAACACAGTCTTCCTTTCCACAAATTGCCAATTACTATTAAAAAGAAAAAAAAAAAAACCTTAATTACATCAAATATACTTTAAATTTTTTTAAATCATTAAAATTTCTTGTTTAGGATTTCTTACTTCAGTGGCCTGTCTCCAAACATAACTCCATTAAAAGCAAGGGCCCTTGGTACAGAATTTTGGTCTGCAAATTCCACAAAAGCAAACCGAGTTGGCTGAGTCTCATCACCTGCCATCCGCACAAACTTCACTTCTCCAACTTGTTTAAAAAATTCAAGTAGTTGATCAGCTGTTGTTGTCTGAGGAAACAAAGTGACAGTTTTAACAGAGCTATTATTTTATGATTTTTTATTTATATGTGGTGCTGAGAATCAAACCCAGTGCCTCACACACGCTAGGCAAGTGCTCTACCACTGAGTCACAATCCCAGCCCAAACAATATGATTTTTAAGAGGGGAAAAAAAGAACTATTGCCCTCTGTTTCTTCTTAAATTAGTTACCTGGGAATTCAAATTTCCAACATAGACTGTTCTCCTAATTTCATCAATTTTAGAAGGATCTACATTTCCCATAAGTGGTGGCTGTGGTATCTCTCCAAGTGTTGCAATATTGGGGTCTAGTGCTGCTGCTGGTATAGCTCCCAAACTGCTAAGTGAAACACCAAGCTGTAAGAAGACAAAACAAACAAAAAAAAACAAGAGAACATATTTTGTATTAGTATTCCAAATTACCATTCTCTAATCTTGACAAAAATGGATCAACTCAAAAAGACTAGAAGGAGACTAAAGACTCCGAACTTTCTGAATTATTAAGACATGGAAATCACATTAATTTTGAACCTAACTGAAATATAACCAATTTCTTAACTATCTGGGAATTTTAACTACCTTTAAACTTAATACTAAAAATGAATAGTTGGTTCTCAATAGTCAAAGTAGTTATACCCTATAAAGTTTCTATAAATAATGAATTATTACTGGATTATTGAACCACGTTCCTAAGGAAAATAAAAGATTAAGTTCCTAGAAGCCTCTGACCATAACACACTCATCATCACTAATAAATATATAATTTTGTTTTATGTTTGTTTGAAGGCACCTGAGTTAATGTGTTGATTCATTAAGACTGAACTCATGGGGCTGGGGATGTAGCTCAGTGGTAGAGCGCTTGTCTCACACATATGAGACACTGGATTCGATCCTCAGCACCACAAGTAAATAGATATTGTGTCCGTAAAAATATATATATTTTAAGAGAGAGAGAGAGAGAGAAAGAGAGAGAGACTAAACTCATGATTAGCAACTCAACAAATCAAAAACTTATCTAACACACATTTTCTTCATAAGGTACACCACAATTTACCTAAGCATTTACTATTTAGGACTTGGCTTGGGGACCTATCTAAATAGCAAAATCAACAACAAAAGGCACACAAAATTTTAAAATGTGGCACTAAAAGATTGCAAAAGTATGCTTGTTTATAGCATGAGTGCCAAAACAAAAAGGCAGTGTCACCTTGCTTGACATAATCTGGGAATATGTACATCAGGCAACTCATATTTCTCATCACCTTGTATATCTGAAAATGACCACAAAAGCACTGCAAATATGATTTTGAGGTTTCAAAAAAACTACTTAGTAAGTGAATTCACAAATAATAAGGATTAACTGTATGCTGGTCATTAAAAAACACTGTGTAAGTCCTAATCATCAACAATTATCATAGCATCGCATTTTGCTAAGTTATTAACTTAATTCTCATACCAACCTTGAGAGGTAGGCATTACTATTATGTCAATTTCACAGGTCTTTAAAAAAAAACAAAAACTTGGAAAAATTAATTTGCCAAAAATTTCTAGGCTAACAAGTGGTAAAGGCAGGGTCCCAGTATGGATATCCTCAAATTGAAACAGAAAAATTTACCTAAGCAAAAATCTAAAATAGTAAGTTCTCACTTATCCTATGGTTAAAGCAAAAACAAAAACATTTTGTTCTTGGGGGGGGGGTACGGGGCAGTAGTAATGGGGACTAAAACCAAGGGTGCTCTAGCTCTACCATTGCCCTACCTCGCCAGTCCATTTTGAATTTCATTTTGAAACAGAATTTCACTAATTGCTAAGGCTGGCCTCAAACTTGTGACATACTCCTGGCTTCACACTCCTCAGTGGCTAGGAATACAAATAATTGTCTAATCTCTTTACCCAACAGATTATACAGTTCAATATTCACTCCTTTCATAAGAAGGTACTTACTTATGTATAGTACAATACTTACAGTAGTCAAGGGATTAGGAGTTGGTATGGGAAGCAATCCTGCACCAGGCATCAGACTTGTCATAGTTGGAGCAGGAGCCAATAAAGAGAGTGCTTTCGATTCCTCTGGGATTTTACCTGCAGAGGCAAGTTCCAAACATTACCGAGAGCAGAAACACCACACCAACTTTACACTATGATTTTACAATTACCCTTGCACTTAAAAAATAATAATAATAAATGAATCTATCTATCAGATCCGTATAAAGAAATAAATAAGAACTTAAGTCTTTCCTTTTATCCTGGCTCTACTAGGAAAAATAAAAGTGAGCAAAACTTCAAAGACTAACAATCTCATTAATGGAATATTATTTTAAAAATTGAATAATGTAGACAATTATTTAACACTTTGAGCTATGGGTCACCTGTACTGGAAACTTAATGTTCATGAACCAAACGATATCAAGCATGGACGCTTTCCCAGGACGGTGTTTTCGCGGTGATCGAAAGTTGTGTTACACATGACAACCGTTCGTGTTGGCTGCATCACTAATAGCACACAGAACATCAGATACAGAAAAGAAGAACATTTTTTAAAGTTTAATCCCCAGAAATGGCAAATAACCAAATTAGTCAAAAAAAAGAAAAAGAAAAAACAAATATGTGCGAATTGAAATTTGTTCCTTAATGAGTGCCCCTATTCTGTTACTGAAACTATCTTCTTGTGATGCAAACAATTGTGATAACCCTCCAACAGATTCAAGTTCAAATAAACAGAAGAAAACATAAACCTACTTCATGTAATCAGCTTCAATTTAAAAGGAAGCCTATACCCATTCTGTTAATAAGGCTTCTCATCAACAACGATCAATGATGCCTAAAAAGAATCCAGTTTCAAAGAATATGCCTTGGAAAAAATAATAATAATCACTAAAACTTTGTGGGAATTAATGACAAAAAAATTTTTTTCCCTAGTCTCAGGAAACTTCTTAAAATGTAACTTTTAGAACCAATTTACATATATACTTATCTGAAGAGAAATGATTAATGCTTAAATGTCTTGCTTATAAACATTTTAAATGGTTAATAACAATAGTAACACTAAAATAATCTTAAAAACTAAAAAAATGCCTACAACCTAAAAAAAATGAAAAAAAATTAAAGTACATCATTTGCCATGTAACTGCTGATTTTAATCAAATAATTTTTATTAAGATCGCAACTTTCACACATTTTTATCTTAGCAAAAAAAAAATTCTGTAAAAGTTGACTAAGTGTAGATACATTTAGAACTAGTCATACTGTAGTTGGCTAAGCATTTCCGTTAAGAACTTGTCAAAAATGTTTTAAAATAGTGTACAAAATCATACTAAGCTGAAATATAATATTATGTAGTAAATTTTCCTGGTTGCAGTGGTAAAAATCCTATTTAAAACAACCACGTATAGAGATCAATCTCTGAACGTTATTATCTGAATATATCTCTAAACATGGATGGAATTCAAGATGAAACTTAAAACTTGCTTTAAATATTAATTATGTCTTATCTACAGGAACAGAATAAAAGGTACATTGTAGTAGCTTTAAGAACTCTGCAGCATCTAAATTTATATTACTTTGCCTAATTTCAAAAAGTTACTTTTATTATTTCAATGTAAATTCTGACAGAATAGATTGTTTAACATGCATAAAGATAAACAAAAGGTAGGTCTTACTGAAGACATTAAATAACAACCTATTTTTGTATGTGTTAGTTACTAAATACTTATTAACACATGTATTTTTGTACACCCACATTGATACTATACTATTTACACTGATATCACACTCACTTTATCTGTTACGTAGACTTTTTTAAAAAAAGGTTTATAAAATCTGAATATCCTTAATAAAACTGGGGTCCTGAGGTGAAAACTCTATGCTTCAGTACCCTAAAATTTATACACCTAAAAAAAAAAGATGATTTCCAAGTTTAATATTACTTGTCATAAGCCAAACTATCCATAAAAACAGTGTAGAAAAATTATACAAACAAAAAGGGGATTAAATGGGCCAAAAGTTGATCACTTAGTATTAGAAAGTCTCTTTTGGCTTCAATACCAGTAGTCTGTCAGATTATCATTGCCTTTCATGAGAGTAATCTAGAACTCTAAGCTCAATTAAACCTGTCTTATTCTATTAAAGGTATTTTAAGAAAAAGTTCCATTGCTCAATTTCCAAAATAAAATCCTATCAAATTTATCCTCTAAATAATATCAGAGTATATAAAAGTATTTAAACAATCAGATTTAGCATTTTCCCCAAACTATATTCCTTAGTAATGGAGAGAAAAATAGTATCTCTCATATTACTTGAGTCCTAACCTCGGAAGCTATTTAGAAACTGGTAACCTCTGAAGAATTTTCAACAAAAAATTCAAGCAAACAGAAAAACACGCACACAAATTTATAATCAATATTTTCTCAAATATCCTTTCCCCACATAGGCAACAAAGTCTTCATAAGACAAGGAAATAAAATGTATAATGAACAATCATAAAATGAAAGACCTTCCCCATACCAATGCACTGTAAGAAATTTGCTTATTTTCCTTGATGATTTTGTATGCCTAGAATTCTAGGGGGACGGATGAAAATTAAAAGCCATCCATTAATTTTTATGAGATAAAGTCTTGGAGTGGGGAGGGAAACTACAAAAATGTTACACTAAGATCAGGAAGTGTTCCTAAGATCCTTATAAGTGTTTTAATGTTAAGTATAAAATGTACCTGATCAATCTACAAACACCAATTAAGACTCACACTAGCTTCTCAACACTATATTTTAATTTACTGCATGAAAAATTTATTCTGTCTTAAGGTTGAGCTGTGTTAATTATCTCCCAATATAATTTGCAACACGTTATGAACCTTAATGGAATACCATTTACAAAGAACTGGAAAACCAGCTCACAAGTTAAAGTGAGAGAGATTTAACAAAACAAAAACAAAAACAAAAACAAAAAAAAAGGGACAAAATAAAGAAAAAGAAATGAAATTAAAGTAAAACAATAAAAAAACAGAGACAGGGCGTCCATCTTCTGCGGTTCAGACTCCGATCTCATTTCCCCAATGAAGGTTTCACTTGACGGCAGGTTTAGTGGCATGGCAAACAATGCCTAACTCAGGCAAGTGTAACAGGTCTGCCTTGGCCAGTCTAGTCATCTAATAATGCACAAATATCACATAGAGAAAACATACAAAACCAAATTAATAGTCAAAATCCATCTACCAGAAAATGTGGACATAAAGTTATGACTGATGATTAGGCTGACACCTTTGTTAATGTTTGACCTTATCTTTCGTAAGTGTTAACATTTATAAAAAGAAATCTGAAATGCACGCAACAACAAAAAGAGATCATATTTAGACAAGTATAATGAAAGTATATTTTATTTTGAAATGGCATGTTTTATTAACAATAGTTAATGCTTAGTAAGTATGTACCTGTTACACATCAAACATTACTTTTACAGATTAGGATTTCTCATGTCACTGTCTGAACTAAAAAAACAGCAAATTAAAAAACTTTTAAAAAAAATTTTTCTATGATTCCTCTCATTTACATCATGACTATTTCTAGGACATCAAGGAAAGAATGCACTCGGTGATGTGCAGAGCAGACTGCTCGCCACACCACAGCACATCTATTCTTAATAGAACTTCCTCCACTGTAATGCTTTCCTTGGGTTTATTTCAAACCCACTATGCTATCTTTTTTAGTACAATAATGCATTATTTCTTTCCTGGCAGTGCATGATCAGACTTTTAGCAGCTCAATATGAAATTCTTCAGGTTCCATAAATTCATCTCTGTTGTATTTAATATAACTAATGAAAAATGATATCTAAAGGTTTTTCTAATATGTTCCGAAATATTTACTTACACATAACTAAATTACTATGAAAGTATGCTTAAATTTTCATGTGTGAAATAGCAAAGCTTTGTCTCTAAATGGTAATATTAAAAATACTTAGAAATTATTAAAAAAAAAACTGTGCATTTATTCATCTCTATGAAGTAAAACAAACAGTAAAAGGGATATCTACATGCCCATAACCTTGACCATTTACGACAAGTCAGGGCTTATCTGATACATGAAACATTCTATGGAAATATAGCCAGGTTCCAACAAAGCAACACTGCTAAAAAATTCTATCCAATTCAATGGGATCTGATATAATAAAAGACCCTTTGCTGTTGGTGGTTTAATTTTCAGTTATTATATTCCAGTTTAGTAAACTTTCTACTTGATTTTTCTTTTAATGAGGTTTCTTGGTATGAAATTTCAATATAAACTATATAGTATTAAACCATTAATCAGCTTCATTCCTAATTCATTTTCCAATTTGGGGCTCACTGTACTTCTACAGAACTCCAGATAAAGACATATATAAATAGATAATTAACTTTAATCAATTTTTATTTCCCTTACACCCAAACATGATGAAGACCCTTTCAAATTTATCCGAAAAAAAGCCAGAATGTCCTATTCTGGAACTTCAAAAATACCAGCCTGGTACTCACTGTATTTGACTAAAATGTTTTTGACTTTCCAGAACAGACATTCTGAAATAGGAATAAAATCCTGAAAATGCAGCAAACTGCTTATATACATTAAATTGTTTTAATATTAACCTGGTTACTATAAGAGGTGTTAAAATTACACATGAAAGCCCATTAAATTGTGTCTTGGAAACTTTAATGTTGTAAAATATGTTATCATCATCCACCAGGAATTATCTACTTGTAAGGGCATTTAAATTTATAATAACCCAATTCTAAAATCCATGTACACATGCCATAGTGCTCAAGTTAATTATACACCAAAATTCAACGTAGTCTATTATATATGAATGGTTCTGTAAAAAAGTAAGTTACTTAAAAATATTAGTAATAATTAGCTTTTAAAGCAGTCATAAAAATTTAACAAATACATGTAAGACCCTTGGGTCCTATTCCTATTATTTCCTTGACGGATGCTTTGAAAAATTGCTTACCATGATTTTTTCTTCAATTACCCTCCAAAAAGAACCAATTTAAACAAGTAAATTCCAGTTGCATAGCACACTATACATTGAAGATGAAACAATCATCTCACAGTAAAAATAAAGTTATCTTAAAAGAATACTTGAAGATACTAATTAAGAATATTTTTCCTATAAAGATCACTTAACCTCAATTGTGCAAAATGTATACATTTCTTATTTGTAATATTATTAGTACTGTATACACAGGTAGATGTTTACTTTGTACATTTAAAGTCCAAAAAATTTCCCATACCCATTTCTATTTTTTAAATATAAGAAGCTCTCTTCACAATCTGTAAATTTCCTAAAGAAAACTAAAGCAAACAAGAAGCCAAATACTTTATGCAGTTGTAAAATCTTAAACATACATGTGTAATAAATTAACCGCTTTAATTTACCATTAGGTAAAAATTCTTTTCTTCTCCAAATTTCATTCTTGCTTTCTCACACACACACACATCAGAGTACTGTCTGCTTGCTAATTTGTAGGAAGCCAAAAGGCTACAGAAACAGAACAGAAATTAAAATAATAGAAAAAAATGTGAGATACTAACCTTCTGCACAAGGAACAACTATCAGAGCTCTGTCAATAAAAACCGTGTTAGTTAGATGCTGGGCCACACCAACACTTGATGGGTCACGAAACTTAACATAACATACTTTGGAGGAAAAAGCAAGAGGAGCGTTGCTGCAAGATAAAAACAAAAACAATTGGACTAATAAATATTTGCTTAGTTTTGTCATTTTCACTTAAAATCTTTCTTACATGTTTTCGTACTCTTACCTAATCAAGACTTGGGAAATTTTTGTTGCAAGTGATCATTAAAACACTAAATGGTGGTATGTCTCACCAGAAAGAGGCAATCTAGGCAGATCTATAGCCTTATATATAAAACTTAAAACTCAATCAGTCCTGAATCTCAGTGAAATGTAAAATCAATTGATGCAATCCAAAAATGTTCAACCACTGTGTCATCCTAAATAGGCAAAAATCCCTTTATGAAAGCTCCACTTCTTAAAAATTCAAATTTTCTAACCATCCCAACCCTTTTTAAATGTGATTCCCCAGCATTTACATCACTAAAAACATGGTTGGGGTGTATAGCTCAGTGGTAGAGAACTTGCCAAGTGCAAGTCCCTGGGTTCATCCTCAACACAAAAAGAAAAAGTCATTAAAACTTGATGGTAGTCTTAGAAACAACCAGGTAATATGAAATTAAATTAAGGTTTTTATGTATATACCAGCTAGTTTCAGGATAGATGGCAATGTGATTTTCTAGACCTCCCCCCAAAAAAATTATAAACAAAATTTTACACATTTTGCTGTTATAGTAAATAGCATAGACTCTAATTCACTGATTCAATTCCATCTAGGGCAGACCTATAGTAAAAAGGAACCAGACACAGCACAAATAAAAGGAATTTTTCCATATATGAATCTATCTTGTTAGATTCTAAAAGTTACTACCCTTGTGGACATTTTGTCAACATATCCATAATTATTTTTCATCAAAATCTACAATTGTCTGTAGCAGGAAAAAAGTACCTAAATATATACCTAATCTATAATATAAATACACACTCATTTGAAAGCTTTTTACACTAAAAAGAAAAGATATCATGTGAAAAACATCATTTATAACTGGAATAATAACAGTAATTTACTGTGGGTTACTAAACAGTTCTAATAAGTTAGCCACATCTCTGAACTAGAAAATGGCAAAGTCAAGATTTAAAGTCTAATCATGTAAATCCAAATCTCATGAAATCTTAATCATTCAACCAATCAAGAATTTTAAAATTCTGGGGATCTAAAGGTATAGCTCAGTGGCAGAGTCAGAACATACCCAGCATACACAAGGCCCTGGTTTCAATCCCCAGTATACATCTCCCCACAAAAACACCCCATCATTTTCAGTTACTATTTAGTCATTCCACAAATACTAGTCATTTTAAAATTCAAAAATCTTTCTCTGTAATCCCTCACAAAAAGCAACAAATCCATCTTTAAACAATGTAGAATAACCACATTAATAACGGTTAAATTTACATACATGCTATTAAGCCAAACAGATAAAATGTATTTGCATTTAAAACTATATTTATCATTAACATACTGCTAAGGCTAATTTAGTTTAAAAAAAAAAAACTACCTCTTTTCTAATCAACTCAATTTATTTCCTCTGCCTAAGATCATCCAAATCCAGGATTCATACCAATCCTCACCAAAAATCCCCCTTTACCCACTATCTTAGTCAAAGCATTTCATATATTGCCTTAGAGGTAAATATGTCCATATTCATGCTTACCCACCATGTTACCAAATCTCCAATTTAAGCTTCTTCTGAGCTCTAGACACCCAGATCCAAGGGCTGACAATACATTTTCATCCACCCCTAAGTCATTAAATCCAAATACATTACCCATTCTCTTTTTCTTACAAAGCCTGCCCTGGGTCTGTATTTCATATCTCAATTAAAAATGTCTTCACATTTCTTCCCAAGTCTGTAATTTGGAAGTCACAGTTATTAGTGCTATTTACCAAATATTTCCAAAGCTCCCTCTGAGTATGTGGTAAATTCCATTTCTCTATTCCTTGAACAAAGGTGTGGCCCTGTAACTTGTTTTGATCAATTAAACATGAGCAGAACTAATGTTGTCTAACTTGTAAAAGTTTTAAAAGAGCCAACCACTGGTTGTCTCTTTTTCTCTGACACAGTGACTAGTTATGTTCAAGAGATGGATGGAGGGTGGATTCATCAGCTTCATCCCACAATGCCACCAATGAGTACAATTTCAACCCCACCAATTTAGCATAAGAAATAATCTGAGATTTGGTTTGTTTCTAAAACCCTGCCTATCCTGACTGACAAATTGCCCTTGATCTTCATCTTCTCATCCAATAAATTCTGCTGAGTCTACCTTCCAACTATTGTCACATTAATTCTTTCATAATTCTCATTACCAAGCCTTAATTCAGCACTTATCACCTAAATTACTATAATGGTTCCTAACCAACCACACTGCATCCAATTTCAATCCCTTATTGCTGTTTTTCCACAAAAACAGACCCTTCTATACCCTAAATTGCATTGTGTCACTCCACAGATTACATTTCCTCAAAGGCACCCTTCTGTTCTCACTTCATCATCTAAGTATATCCAAAACTCCAGGCACAGAAATACCTGTGGTTCTAAGAAAACATCCTAAACATCTGGGTCTTTGTACCTGCTGTTCCGTCAACTACAATGTCCCAACTTGGCTCAAGTGTCATGTCTTCTGGTAAGTCATCTTAAAATACCTCCTGTCTGTGCTATCAATGCAGCTTCAGCACAGACACCATCACAATTTCCTTATTTGAAAACCCTTAGAAGAGCCTATTGGCTTATCTAGCCACAACTGATCAAAACCCTCACAAAAGCCCATTTCACTTGCTGACCAACAACCTATAATTTGGGTAGTCAGGCTTGACTAAATGAACTTGAAACACTTAGATCTTTCTGTTAGGCTGAAAAGTGACAGCCAGATGATGAAGGAATACAGAATAGATCTGCAAAGAAACTGAGTAGATATACAGAAACATACCTGTCAATAAAGCCTCTTCAGAGAAAGAGGCAATCACCTTGATTGTTGAACTACCTTTCTGGTTCCCAGGCCCTTTTCCCAAGAGGCCTCTCTGTTTTATAGTCATTATCAACTCTCTTGTCTGTTCTTAAGGTAGATTGTTGGGTAACACTGTTTCTGTCCTTTGCAACCAAAAAATAAAATCTATGATTACAATGACCTACTAAAAATACCCTAGCAATTGCAACAGGAATACTCTTTTAGTTCTGAAATCTTCACAAACCTGACAAACCATCACTTTAATTTCATTACCTAAACTGAAAGACCTTTTGTAAAGAATGAAAACCAAATTACCATCATTGAAAATTAAAAACACACTGCCAACTATCCCTAGTTGAAACCCACTTCATTTTAAATATCCAAAGAAACAGGAAATCTGAGACTGATTTGCACAACTACTACATGTGAAGACATGACACCAAGATCTGAGAAACCTAGGAATTGGTTAAAAATATTTTGTCTATTTTGTTCTAAAAACCATTATTAAGCATGAAAGTGAGGTATGGTTGCGTTGCAGCTTTAAGCATTTTCTTAATCTTCACCTCCAGCTACCTCTTTGAAATACAGTAAAGCCCAACTTACATTGTTTTGTAAAAATGTAAATACCTAAGATTTTCAAGAGAGGCAGTAACACTTTATTTTAAATATAATACTAATATATGATGGTGGCAAGCCTCCACAGAGATGACAAATCTCAGCAAGCAAATGTGTATGTATTTACAAATCAGCATGTTTCCAAACCTTGTATTTAGATCTTTCTCTCTAATGTATCTAAAACCAATAAATTCACTTTTTCTTTTTTCTGTGCTGGGCAATCAAGCCCAGGGCCTCATAACGTGCTAGACAAGCACCCTACCATTGAGCCACATCTCCAGTCCCTAGAAATACTTAAACAGGATTGTCATTTTTAATTTTGACAGTTTTAATTATAAAAGCAGGTTCATAATTCAACTAGTCTAAACATAAGACTCCACGGGAAGTAGCAATACCCAAAATTAGTAGAGCTTGATTTGAACATTAGTTTTCTCTTCTTTCATTCAACATGATGATGGCACATTTTCAAAAGCCAAGATTGTATATATCCTACATTTTACATCAATGTACCCTGGACATTAGTATCATCCTTTAGATAAAATATAAAAAAGAATATAATAAACATGGGCAAAATCGAGTTTTATGTATGGAAATATTAATTGATGCATCATTTTATCATAGGGCTTCTCCACAGGGCTCCAATGATACTTTACACAGCACAATTTCTCCTTATAGAAGGCTTTCTTGTGAACTACTAACACTGCCAGTAAGACCACTAATAATCACTGCTGACAATCAAAAACACCACTAAATGATGCAGCTAAAATATACCAATATATTTCATGATAGAATTTCCAAACACATATCAGTCTTTAAAAATTACTATAAACAAAGTATGGGGATATGAAAAATGCTATTACAGCTGAAGTGAAAAAAGTTTATAGAACTGTATCAATCCTTTGATAATACATTATAATAAACACATATTAAAAAACTGGAGGGTAATATATGCAAATGGAAGGGTTGTAATGGATGGTAGGATCATAGGTATTGTTTCTTTTTCTATATTTTCAACAAAATAATTATACTGATAATATTAATTTTTTAACTAAATAAGCTTAAATAAGTAGTTGATAGATATTACCTTTCATTCTTGGAACTTTTGAAGACCAGAGAAGTGAAGGAAACCAGCAAGCAAAAAAACAACACAGGTAAAATCTCCAGTGTCAGAAATCAGGACAGGATTACCCTTTGGGGGTTAGTCACTTGAAGAAGGGCACAGGGGACCTGCTAGGGGCTTACACTCCTGATTGTATGCTAGTTACCTGGGCATGTTTACTCTGTGACACTTTATCAAGCTGTACAATCACAATCTGTTCATTTTTTCTGT